GGTGATTCCACACCATCAATGATTCAGGTTAATGCTTCACAGATCACATCAAGCAGACGAAAACCTTCACAAGTTTGAGGACCCAAGATATAGATCTAATTAAAGCTGCTATGGCCAAAGGTCAGTCTCCAGTCTGGTTCAGAATTCCTAGTAAAGAAAGGCTATCCCTGCACGTAAAGATTAAACATGAACTTTTATGTAGGTTCATCTGCCAATCCTCAGGGAAAGCTCAATGTAAACCAGTATAGCTGGCACGCATCAAGTTACTCTCGGATTTTACAAAGATGTCTAAATATTTTTAAAAGGAAGCATTTCTTTCTGGATGTTCGTTTTTGTTAAAGAACTGGCTAAAAAGAATTATCGTTTATTTACATACCGATTTTCCAGTCCCAGTGAATGCTGGCAATATCCTTATATTCCACAATCAACCTAAGATTAAAATAAGAGGTCAAAGAGAGATCCACATACTAATTTTTACTCTTTTAAAGGCATTTTACTTATTATTCTTTAGCAAACGTGAGGAATTATGTCGACTTTTGAATTTTTCTTAGAATATAAAAATAACTATCTTTAATAAAAATGACAAAGAATAAAACCAAAGGAGTTCATAAAGATATGTTTGGCTCCTTTAAAAGTGCTCTTTAACTGTAGCCAACTATAAGAGGAAAACATGACATTATGCTTTCTTTTTGAATAAGCTTAGGAAATTAATGTGTTAATGTTTTCTGAAGCTAATTGGGGGGGGGGGGCAATCCTTCCTGGTAATGCCTCTACCACACTGTAATCAGGAATCCTAAGCCTCACGCACGTTTAAGAAAATTAAGCATAATTCTTGACATTTTAACAATCCTCTAATAGACATTTAGCAATGTCTATTACTGATTTCAAATGTGAATTGGGGCCAAATAAACAATGGATATTAGTAGTTGGAGAGTCATCATCAATGACATATTTCCTTATTATGTTTTTAGAAAAAAAATTTAGAATCTTACAGCTGTATGCCACTGATAATTGTCCCAAATAAGCCCACCATTCCCAGAAACTCCTGTCTGCTCAGCTTCTTCACGACGTACTCTTCGCAAACATTAGAAA